AGAGAGAGAGAGAGAGAGAGAGAGAGAGAGAGAGAGAGAGAGAGAGAAAAGAGAGAGAGAGAGTGACGGGAGAGATATCAGAACACTTAATCAATTTCCAAACCCCCTGTAAATAATTATTCGTAGACGCGATGGAATCGGTTTGCGGGGAGGACGACGGGCAATGGGTATGCGCGAGGCCATTCACCCTCTCTTGCACGGATATCGTTTCATCCCTTTGGATGAAGAATTCTTCAAGTTATTTACGTTCAAGTGATAATCGAAGCTCTCGGATATTTCTAAAAAAAAAATATCAGTTCTAGATCTTATGAATCGTATCAGGTTTTTTAATTGAATTCCAGGTGTAGCGTGCAATGGAGGGTAAGTCAAACGCGGATTGGGCGAGCAAATGAAAAAAAACAAAAACAAAAACAAAACAAAGAAACAAACAAAAAGCACTGTGACATTCGTGAATGTGTATTTTATTATAACGGGTACGTACATGTAAGAGAACGTTTTCTGATCCAGAGGGAGAGCGCGAGTGAGTGAGAGAATCTGCGTTCGTTCGCGTCACTTTGTCACGCGTGAACGACGATTAATATTTACAAAATAGCAATAGCGATGATCATGATGTGCCACAACGTGGTGGAGATCGTCGCGAGTGAAAGTGATTTGAAGTAACCTTACCCGGCGTCGTGTCGATTTTTGCGATCTCGTTCTAGTGTAGCATGCTCGGCGGAGGAATTTTATACCTCGTCGATATCGGTTCGCTCACCGTGGACACAGACGACACGAGAAAAACGTGCTTTCTATTTGCGTTTGCGCGAATGCCAAGTCTTGTGTACGTTCGTGCTTTTGCGGATCGTTGATTTTCTCAGCGTCGCGTCGAACGTCTTGGGAAGAAGGATTTCGTATGACTTTTCACCCTTCGTGTTCCCTTCACAATTCCATCGTTTATATTGTGGTACCCTTCGGATCGAATTTCGAATGTGACAAGGAAAAAAATGTCCGAAAAAGAAACCCAGGAAACTACCAAAATTGTTGCTTACAAATGAAATACACGAGAAAAAGTAACTGAGAGTGCAATCTACTTATAGATTGGAGGCCAGCATTACAAATTTTAATTAATATCACGGAGTGGAGAAGACAGTGCTTGTATCAAGGTAAGATCACGTATTATTGGAATTAAGAATGTGAGAATAATACATTCCAAATTAAATTTTTTTTTTTATACTTCTTGCTGTGAAAGATGATGTGCGTTTGACAAAAACGGCAGACACGAAGGGGTTACAATCAGACAATGCTTTGATCAGATAGAAACTGAAGCTTCGTTAAATATATTTTGAATCAGTATTTTAAAATGGTATTTATTATTATTTCGATACTTATTGATTTATTTCTGTTATGAAGATTGGCAAACATAAGTGTTTAAGATAACAGTACTTATTGCAAGATCTTCAACTTTATGTTCAACTATATTGTATAGCACGACAGCCTGCTATAATAAATAACATAAAACAATATAAAAATATTACAAGAAAGAGAAAATTGAGGGAATGAAATTTCGAGATGATTTCTTGATAGACACATGCATCGAATCCTTCTTCCAAGAACATTCGTCTAGTTAATAAGAACATCAAAAACCTGCTGCGTTGATTACACTATGTTAATATTTATAAATGTAAAGGCATGGTTTTCTATCCTCGTACATGTTGAGCATGCCACAAAAAACGAGTAACGAATCATTATACGGGGATTATAGTGATTATCATAATATTGGCAATTAACCTTACCACTATTAACATAATTTACATGGTAATTACCTCTGCATAAATATATTACTAATTGGAGCCACGTGAACGCTATTTCATGACTATAAACGCACGTTTCTGAAGCATTATACCTGCTTAACGATCCAATAATTAACGATTATTAATCGTGTAACCAGTAAACAATTTTTATACATTTCTCTGAATATTCGTTGTTGTTGCTTGAGACTACGAAATTAAAGAAAAAAAAAAACAGAAAAGACTCCAATACTCCTTTCTTTTTCGCCAGAAGTGCGCGTAGAAGGAGAAAATTTGAAAACGGTTTTCGAAAAGGAAATTTTTACTTTAGGAATGCAACCGAGGGATCGAAAGCATCGTTCGCTTTCAACTTATCGATTACGAAGGCTGTATCGATCATTTCTCCCGATTTATATTCGTCGTCTTTTCCTTCTTGCTGTAGATCAATAACTTCTTATATTATGGCAGGCGCGACAATTACGATAATTGAAAACCATGCTCTCGATGGTGAAACCAGTTCTTCGTATTTCGACTAATTCGTCTTTTGTATTTTGTATTTTGGGCGCGAATTTCTCATGCTTCCTTTTATCTAGTATTTTTTTACCGTTCGCCATGCTGCGCACAAGTTTCCGCCACATACGCCCTTAACGACCATTTGGCACGAATTCACGTGGAGACGTGAGAAAAACCACATTGTAAAATGATTAAGCGAGAATTAATTAAAGGAAAGGCCATGTTCTCGCGGACGATTTTCTCTTTCGCAAAAATTGATTTTATGTCACAGAGAGGGGGCAGTCTGTTCATTTTATCTTTGATTGATTTTGAATCGCAGTAAAAACACTACTAAACGGAATTCTCAATTTAAACCTTCACTTTAAAAATGTCAAACTTGACCAGATAAATCTGGAGTTCAGAGCATAAAACAGGATAAAAATTGTATGTGAATCTAAAATGCTCGGGTTTTTGTTTCTATATTAAAAT